AAAATAAATATTTGAAATCAAATAAATCATAGTGTATTTGGGACATAAAAAGATAAGTTGTAGAAACATTTTTGTTAAAAAGAAAAAATAAAATTCAAAAACTTGGTTATTTGAATTTTTTACATAAATTTTGAGGTTATGTGAAAAAATTGTAAATACAAAAGTTGTAGATCTTTTTATTACCTACAGCTTTGCCTTTTAACTTTTTTTCACAGGGCTTGTAGTTTTGCCGGAAATAGAGATAAACCATTTTTTACCCTTAAAAACTCACCCCCATCCACTTCCCTAACTCAGATCACCCGTAATTTATTTTTCCTTTCATTTTTATCATATTCCCCTCCTTTCCTAATGGGTTTCATCATACATTTTTTTTCAACTTTTTACCATATTTGAAGGCTTCAGCCCTGGATCTTCGATGGGTGTTTAGTAGACCCTTTTTTTCAAATATCGTCAACCTGTCGAACTAGTCTCTTTTCGTGTATTGAAGCATTATTGATATTGATAAGTCTATTTTCGAATTCTCTGACGAATTTTACTTAAATTAGTATGAACGATACTTTTTTCGAAAAATTTGAAAATAACTGATGAAGCTTTCGTTACGTTGTTCGTATTATTTAACTAACATTAATAAGTGTAGACGAAACTTTTTCGGATGAGCTTTTAATATTTGATACTATGACTTAATTACTTTCATGTCACAGTTTCACGAGAAATCATGAAAAACGACTTCATATATCTATATTCTAGGCATTATACATTCAGTTTTAGTTATAATCATAATAATAGGAACGAAAATTGAAAATTATTGTTTTGTTGGAACAGTGGCGCAAAAACATGGGTCTACATTGGTTCGGGTAGCACATGATACAATACGATTTCAGAAGTTTCATTAAAAAATTCTATTAGCAGTGTCTAGTAAATTTGTTTTTCAAGTATGGATTCAGTGACCCGGTACTTAATGAAAATTAATATTCGAGACGCGTTTCACTACACGGTAGGTTCGTCAGCTGGACTGGTGGTAATTTGTTTTCTATTTTTGAATTTCAACAAAATATATTTTTGTTTGAAGGTGGTTGACAATGTTTCGTGGTATATTTCATCAGTTCGGACTTCCATTGTCTAATATAATATAAANTCTTCATCAGCTTTGTCTTCTGACCCATCCCCTGAAGTGCACAGGTAACAACGCTTGCACTACTCCTCCACGTTTCAGCGGAAATTGACCCAATAGTGCCCCTTAGGCACTCTCGTCAGAGTTCTGTTTACACGGAAATGCCCTCCAGTGCGACCATCGTGGAGCTGTTTCAGTATATTCGTAATACACATCTATGGATGTTTTATCTGGAATTTGAGGTTTTTCCTTCCAGGCTTTCTCATTTCTAAGTTAATAGGTAATCTGGAAAGTCCCATTGGAGCCAGTAACCTTTTTCCTGCAGGCCCTGCTTGTAAATTTCTTGTCATTCTGGCTTCACTTCTTTGTCAATCCACCATTTGTGCTACGGTACTCTTTCCTCGTCCTGAAGGTAGTGTCACCCTCTGAAACGATCGAACAGCACCATGGTCAGGTGATTCCTCGCATCTTCTGTCCATATCCCTGGAAAAGGGACCCTTATAGATTGCTACTCTTCGAATCAGAGGGAACCCGAAGCCGCTGGAGGTAGCGGAACTTATCTCCCTATCAGAGCTTGTGATGTCTGGTAGAATGTTCTTCTCCTGCCGTTGACAAAATTTGCATCCGGATATCAGACATGGTCTTCTTCAGAGACTATCAGCGTTTCCGTGATTTTTTGCGATGTCAAATTTCAAAATCGTAAGTTTGTAATTTTTGAGACACCTGGCTTGATAGTTCGTACTGGAACCTCTGGCGTAAAATGAATCTATTGATAACACTTTCCTAACACCAGAACAAAAATTATGGTCTCTCGACGAGCGTTTCGCTAACCAAGTTACCATCCACAGGAGATCATTTTGACTAAATTGTAGTAATATGTTAGTGTTTTTATAGTTAGTGGCCTAACTACTACCGGTTAGTATTACTAATACTAGTGAAAAGTAATTATGCCACTAGCATATAAAACATAGTAGTAAAATAAATTGATGGATATAGCCGTTACTTTTGAAGAAAAGAGAATTGAAACTTATACATTAATGTATAATGTTTAATGTACCTATAAGTTTGGAAATGTCCTTACAGAACGTCCTTATAGACCGTAATTTTTGTTCTGATGTTGGGAAAGTGTTTTCAATAGATACCTGGCTATTTGTCCTTCTGGGCTTTCAAGTTGAGGAGACACCGAAGTGTTGAGCGTTTTCACTTGATCAAGAATTTATGGCCAAGTAAAAAAAAAGTGTTGATCCACCGCTTTGACCACTGCGAGGAGCTTTTTCCTCGTGACGTAGTTATTTCTTTTGAATGTTTCCAGGGATTTACTGAAATACCTAATTACAACTTCTTCTCCGCCCCTTAATTCAGAGAACACTGTCCCTATTCCATGTTGGGATGCATTCGTATGCATCCTCCTTTGGGTATGACAGGACTGGGACTGGCTGTCTCTTCAGAGCAGGCTGGTGATCAAACGAAAAAGTTTTTCTTCTCAGCCAAGCCATCCAATAAATTCCTTCACGAAACGCCGGTCCAAAGAGACTTCTAACGTTGTGCTTGCTTTTTGGTGTTGACAATTCATGCACTACTTTTGAGGACACATGTCCCAAGAATTCAATTTTTTCTGGAAGATACAGCACTTATTGGAATTGATCTGCAACTGAGCATTCCACAGCCTCAAGTTAACAGATGTTTGTCAAAACTTTTTTGGTTTGGTTACTATAATGTCGACAAGATAGACCAAGCTTGTTTTACAGTTAATGGGCTGACACCTATCAGAAAACAACTAATCCCCTGACTAATACCACAATTGCCGGTAGAAAAGACAGTCTTTTTTTCTTGGGGCGAACGGCCACCTGTCGATATCTGCTTTTTACATCTAATACTGAGAACCATCTACATTCAGCCAAGATGGGTGTCATGTATTCTTGGACAGGTGACATCATTAAGCCTTCTGTAGTCTACGCAGAATATCGTCGATCCATCCTTTTTAGTCAACTCACTACAAATGACGATCAGGGGCTGCTTGATTTTTCGATAACTCCTTCCTCCAACATGTCCTTAACAATCGATGAAACTTCGTCCTGCTTTGCGAAAGGAAGTTGTCTCGGTGGTTGGCGTATAGGTTTGTCATTGGCAGTATCGATTCGATTCGAAATATGCAATTTGCTCGAGGTGGATATCGTGAACCTAATTTTGCTTTTCATTTCAACGGACAACCACTAGAGGTAACAAACAAATATGTTTATCTTGGAGTAACTTTCACTTCGTCAGGATTATTCCGGGAAATGTCATCAATAACTAGCATTAAGGGAAAACAGGCGATTGGCTCTGTAGTCTATATTTTGTCTAAAGCTAAAATTGACACCTGGTATCCACACTTTTTCAAATTCCTCCTTTGTTTCCTGAAATACTTTTTCAAATTCTTCCTGAAACAATTTCTGCACCTCCCCTTTACTCTCTTGAGTGAGTGATCGTCTCTGTCTCTTACTTGTTGGTCTTGAATATTGACCAATAATTTACGATCTTTCTCTCTATTTCTTTCTTGTTTCTCCTGATAATTCATCAATGATTTACAATCTTCATTTCTATCTCTATCTTGTTTCTCCTGAATATTTACCAGCCTTATTAGCTCACTTCGTACTGCATTTTCAACTAGACTTCCCTCCTATGCCTGTTGGTAGTGCTTATATATCACAATGGAATACTTCGGAAGCGGATGGGAATATTGCCGAAACGAGGCGACACCTAGAACGATCGAGAAGCACAAGTAGGACTTTCCACTAGACAGTTTACAAAGCCGCAACACGTGTCTAGTGGAAATCTCACAGTAAAGTGTTAATTAAATATTTTTTTCAAATTTCGTATTCAGTTTTGATGTATTTCATGGAATGTCAGCTAATGGCCTCTGCTGATTGACAAAAAAGTCAAAAGCACAGAAGCAATGTAAGAATTTTTTTTAAAGCAGTGATAGTGGGTTTGAATTCTTCTTCGGCCAGATATTCATCTCGTAAAAATGTATCTAGTTGAAGATTGATTGATTCTGATATGTTACACGGCTGATGGGACTGATACTCCAAGTAGTCAGAGCTATTGACATAAAAAAATAATACAATCACTTCACTCACCTGTATAGGGCTATGAGTAGGGGAAAACTGTTGCGTGGGTGAAACTGAAACTGATACACTACTGTAACTGCAGCAACTTGAATGGGATGCATCACTATTGTTCCTACTCAAGTTTGGAGTCAGAGTGATATGTCTTTGTGTCAGAGGACTCTGATTTGGAGAACTGAATACGCTGTATGCAGAATGTATTGCAGAATCCGGACTTGGAGTTGGAGGAACGTTCAAAGCCTTGTGCATGAGATCCTTATGGCTTATAATTGGAACCCCTGAAAAAAGCAAATACTATTAGAAAATGAAGTGTTAGATTTAGTGTATACTATCAATGAGAAAACCATTTCTATGAGTAGATTACTTGAATTTTCAGAACATCATTTGCCTGTTTCCTTAGTTTTCTATATCAGTTCTAGGAAAAAGCTTTGGATATAAAGAGTAAAAAAGGGTAGAAAAAGTTTTTACTGATTCTAAAGCTCTGTTGTTACTCAGAATCCTCACAATTTTTAAGGTATAGTAATATATATATATAAGTTTAAGTTAATATTGTTTTGTACAATAATATAATTATAATTTCTGGGAAACAAAGTTTTTGGCCTTGTACTTCTTCATCTTGATACAAAAAATGTGGGAATCTTCCAAAGAAAGAAAGGAAGCAATTAATTTTAAAAATCAACTCTGTACAAAGATGTGTAATTATAATCAATACTGAACTAATTCAAAAAATAACCAGTAGATGCAAAAATAACCAAAGGTATAGTTGGTACTTGAAATGACTTTCTTTCGTTCTCATATATGCATTCCGTATTGATAAAAAAATATTTCAAGGTTCCTGTGGATTGATTTTAATAATTCTAAACGTAGTATGGTAAAATAATCATGATTTGATTTGATTCTTATAAGGATAGCTACGTGTCATAAAAAAGTACACTTGTTGAATATGAAAAGGTTTCAATGATTATTTTTTTGAAAAGAAGTGAAATGTTAACAGTACTAGAGTGCATTCATGATATTGTTAAGTGGGTCTGGACGCTCAAAACATTCGGATTCTTAGTTGAAATAATGAACTTGAGTTATCAGAATCCTCATTTATATGTTATTATAATAATAATTACCAGCAAATGTCATTTGCTACCAAAATCCAAATTTGTGTTTGATTTAAATGTTTCCAAAGTATTATTTAAAGTGTATTCAGTTTTGTTGAATTGAATAATTGGTAGATACCTCCTGGATGAGGTATCTACCAATAGTCCTCTTCGGAAGACTTTGAATCACAGTGCATTAGTAATTGGAATATTTACACGAACACCACATCTTACTTATTACCCAGATCAGTAACATAATCAGCTTTATGCAGGATCATATAAAAAGCAGAATATGCTTATAAGAAATTGAGAATTATCCAAAGCATCGGAAAATGAAAATCAAAGTTGCAGATGGATAAGGGAAGATTGGTATCTACAACCATTATGAGGAAACAGTAATGACATGGGTAGCAAAGAGTTGTTCTAATGAGCCAATGAATATGATAATATATGATATGACGTATTGGCTTTACTCAATGGTGGTTAAACCATGACAACATATGCTCTTTTGGTTTGGTGGCCAAAGATGAAAGAAATGATCATTATTAACAAACTATGCATGGTGCAAAGAATTGCTTGTTTGGGAATACTGGGAGCAATAAAAAGTAAACAAGAGCAGCATTGAATCTACATTTTGAATCAACATTTTGTAATAATTGTGGAGATAAGAGTTGGTCAATTCAGATTGGACAATTTATCGAGCTGCAAGAAATATAGGGAAGTGCAAGCACTGGTTGTGACGGCTTCTCTTCCTGGCGAGGCTCCTGTTGTCTTTTAGCCAAAGTCTGTTTTACCATAGCTTTGGAGTAGCCATTTCGTTGAAGATGATTTTTGATGATGTCTAGTTCCTTCTCAAGTCCTTCCTTGGAGCACAAGAAACACATAGCAAGGGGAAACCAGCAAATCAGGAATAGCAAAGCATGTTTGGACCCATCAACATGACATCGAGTGGTCCCAAGCTGAGATCATACACAGAGAGGAACATCGGTTTAGGAGGAAATTCAAAGAAGCCGCATACATGTTGTCCAATAACGTATTCAGCCAAGCTAGCGTATAGATACGCAACATATGGAAACCTATCCAACCTATCATTGTTATTTTCAGCTATTCATTTCAATTCTTCTCCTTTAGTTCTTTCAGAGATTTCAAATCATTTTATATTATATCAGGCAATGGAAGTCCGAACTAATGAAATTCATCATGAAACATTGTCAATCACCTTCAAATAAAAGGAAAAATTGTTATTTTGAAATACGTGGAGAGAGAAACATTAAATGTATTCACAGACCATATAACACTGATACAGTGATATCGAGATCATGCTTGGACGAAATACCTGGTATATGGACTGGTCAAAAACTGAACATGTGACAGAAGCTGGAATATACTGTGTGGGGAAAGTTTACCTACATTACAGTTAACCACTCGGTCAAAACACATCCGTCTTTCACGCGGAAATGTACGCAATCTTAATAAAATGAGACGATAAGAAACAAAAGAAGTACTGAAAAATACATCTGAAAACGCTCAAGGAAAAACCTTTATGATGGGACTATCTCAAAAAAGCACAAAAGACTGATGAACGTATGATTCAAAATGCACAGATCAATATTCTCTCGGACTACTAGGCTACACTCAGGGCAGTGATGAACCCAAAAGTGACATCGAAGTTGTTTTGTTTAGAAGTTTGTTTTGTTAAGAACTGTAGAAACTGACGCACTGAAATAGATTGACTCTTTACTTTGTGTGGACACTGAGAATGAGTGCACTAAACACGGTTCCCTGATCTAACTGTAGGTAGATCAGGGACCAATAAATAATGGACCAATAAACAAAAAAATGAGTACTGGGAAAATATATTTAGAAAGGCACTTGGAAAAACCTTTATGAAGGGACTGCCTAAAAAATAACTGAAATACTACTGAACAGTATAGGAATAAGCTCAAAATGATTACAGGGCTGCTCCTGGGACATCTGAACAAAATAGGGCCATATAACGAAGACCTTCGCTTTAGGTAATGCAATGAATGGGCAGATACGAATCGTTATGTTTTACGCGAATGTGAACCACTGGATCACAGGAGACAAGAAATTTATGAACAACTGAAATTTGTCGAGGAAAATATGACGAATATCTAACAATAGATCTGTACAGAGTAGTACAAGCAATAATATTGATGGAATTTAGTCAAGAAAAAATGGGAGGAATAAAGCAATAAGCTCATAAGCCTGCAGTATTTTACAGATGCTTGTAAGTTAGAAGCTTCCCAAGTCGCAATTCTGACCATCACTGACTTGTTAGCTCTTTGAATAATTTCTTTTTCAAGTATTGATATCAGTTATACTTGGTGAAGTACAGTAGTAACACGTTAGGTAATGTTGACAAGTTTCATTCAAGTTTGCAAAATTGCCATCACTCCTCTAACCAAACGGATAGTCTAGTTGTTTGCAGAGAGACAGAACGCAATTTTTACCGACATCAAGATTGCAACAGACCCTCTTCTATCTTTGATATGGAGGGTTTGAGTTTTCTGTCAATCTCATAGTCTTTGAAAGGGACTGGTCTTGTTTACTTTTTACTTAGGATTATCTTTGTTGAAGACAGAAGAGTTAAAAATTGGATTTTTGACTCAGTCTAGTACCGGTGATGAAATAACACTGTTTGGTGTTGGATCATAAATGGAACTTTTTTGAACTTTGGCATAATATATTTACAAGTTAAAGAGCCTACGAAAGCCAGGTCATTGGTTCATTTTTGAAGATAAATTAGAAGTATTTTAATAGAACCAGATGATATGTGTGAGAATGATGGAGGTTTGCACTTCTATTTTCTAAAAATGTTAACAGATTTAAAATCTAAAAGAAATGAAGAATAGAAAATTGCATATAAAATACAATTCAATGTTGCCTTATACAGGGTGTAACTATATAAGTATAAAACATTTAAGAAGGTGATTCCTCATCGAAAAAAAGATAGGATCTTTCATATAAAGAAATTTCATTGGAGCATCCCTTGTTAAGATACAGCCCCTTAAAGGGGGTACATAAAATTTGTATAACAATTTTTTTCACAAGCACTAAAAAAGTTACAATATTGAAATTAACTTGACGTTTTATACTACCAAAAAGACACTTAGCCAGAAATTTATTTGGTTTACTCTATGGTTGTAAGGGGTGGAAAACGCAACCCCTAAAATTTATTTCCAATGTAACTTTTTGTCTTATTATTTGTTTACCATATAAACATTTATTTCCAATAGCCTGTTTCATTTTAAACAAAAAATGTCTCTTGGGTTTTTTGCCCAAAATAAACCAGTTCGCAGCA